AACACAAGAATGTAAGGTGTCAGGGTTATGCCACATGGTTTTCTAGTCTTTCTATAACCTACAGGCTTTGAGACCACACACTATGCAGAAAGACTGATTAGTTCCAACACCAAAAGATGAGCACAAGTTTGACATGACTCAGCTCTAGGGCCATCTCCCCAAAGAGGCAATAAATCCTACTTCCCTTCACTCTGAAGCTGCCATTTGCCATTCAGATAGCATTGCCAGGTTAGCAAATAAAAATACAGAGCTCAGGGCTGGGGATTTAGCTCAGCGGCATGCCTGCCTTCCAAAAAAAAAAAAAAAAAAAAGGAAGCCTGCGAAAATTACAGAGCTCCCAGTTAAATTTGAATTCCATATACACCCCACAATATTCTTAAGTATTTATGTAACCAAATAATTTATGTTCCAAATGTTGCATGAGATACATTTATACTGAAAATGATGTTATTTATCTGAAATTTAAATTTGGTGGAGTCTTATATTTTACCTGGAAACCCCACTTAAGACCAGGGAGGTGATTTTAACCCTGCTACTTGCACAGAGACTTTCAGCTTGATGCTCATTGTGAGTTCCAGCATAAAACCTGCACACCTCCCGCAGGGGCATGGAGGAGCTTTTTTATAAATGTCCTGTTAAGTGACTTCTCCCTTTGAGACCTTGCCCATCTCTGTTCTATGCACATAGGAATCCTTGCCTATGCGGGCAGATCACAGCATCTCAGTCACACCATGAACAATACCATCCACATAACAGGAATCATACACTAGGTCAGAATTATCTGGTTGACATACAGGAAGGAGCCTTGTACTTTTCTTTGGGAATACAAAGCTCAGTTTCCAAGTGGCTTTGCTGGAAATCCCAAGGACGGTAAAGCTCCATGGACAGATCTTCAGACATAGCACTCCAATTTCTCCTATAGATCAGAGAATTAAATAGTCAGCCAGCCACATGACATGCCTGTGGGCTATTCTCAGCTCTGTTTTAACCTGTTGAACTTCCAGTAGCAACTTATATATTTTTATCTTACGTTAGGCTTCCTTTGAGGCAGTAGGCCTATAAGGCAGGGAAGTTAAAAAAAATAGCTAATAATTTTAGAGAAAACTTAAAATAAGCATCTGCATAGTGACTGTAAAAATATCCAGATTTCCTTCGCTTCTGCTGATAAGGCAGAAGCCCACATATTTGTGATGTGTTTGCTCATGTTGTGCACTTAGCCACACAGCTCTTTTCCACTTAACCTTTTAGGTCAGATCTGCTAGATTTCCTCCTTCCCTGACACTGACCAATGCTGGATTTCTTGTTTTCTCAGGTTGAGCAGTGTAATTATACTACTTAACCCTCGATGCAAATATACTGCAGAGGCCACAAGTGCATGAAGGGCTGTGGCCTTAGGTGAGCTGCAATTCCTGGCCCTGGTTCTTTCACTAAGTCGGCCTGTCTCAGCAATGTTTGAAAGTGTTGCTCATCACCTCCCTTTCTCTTTTGCCTAAGTGGCCACAAGATTTGAAGTTCTTCAATAGATTGTGCATTCAGAAAGGACAAGGGCTTTGTCTTGTTCCCTACTGTGTTAGTCCAGTAGTGCTGCCATACCAAATAGCTAATCTGAGTGGTGTAGGGAACAGACACTTTTCTCCTCCTAGGCCTGGGGCCTAGAAATTTAAGGTCAGTGTGTGAGCAGGTTTTGTTGTTGGGCCTCTCTCATTGGCTTACAGATGTCTACTTTCTTGCTGTGTCCTTACATGGCCTCTTCTCTTTGCATGAGCGGCTAGTGCCTCTGTGTGTCCAAATTTCCTTTTCTTCAAAGCACGCCAGTGAATTGGACCCAGGCCCACCCTAATGGCCTCATTTAACTTAACTGCCTCCTTAGTGGCCCCATCTGTAAACGCAGTCACATTCTGAGGTATTAGGGGTTAGGGCTTTACCATATGCATTTCAAGGGGACACAATGCAGCCTGCAACAACTACTGTACGTCCAGTAACTAACTTGGTGCCTGGCATAGGACAGGCAATGCATGTTTGCTGAGTTAGTACAGGAACTTTTGCTTTGTGTCATTGGCAAGACATGTTTCTTGTTAGTCCAGAGCATCAGATTTTTAAGCTTCTTTTTCAGCACTCCTATTTTCCTGGTCATTGATTAATGGACAGAAATCTGGCCAGATGTAAAGTTAATGACACCTGTGTTCCCTGCACAGGCTGCCATACAGTGAGCAGAGGCTTCATCCTGTCCTTTCACGGTTTCATGTCAGCGCCGTAACCCACAGGCTCGGCATGGAGGCTGGTACCCTCCTCTCTGGTCCTCATTTCAATAAACACTTTATTTGCCCTTCAAATTGGGAAGAACAGAGCTCACCAAAGATTTCCTGCTACTTGTTTGGGGGAGGTGGGAGCCTCAACAACCTACAACTTTCTGAGCTTTGCTCTACTAGTCTTTCAGGAAAAGGAAAAAAAGAAAGCCTAAAACTTTGATCCCTGGGGAGGTGAAGCGGAAGTTGATCTTCACCATTAAATTTTTTTATAGATAGCAAAGTCCATGCTTCCACCTGCATCCAAAGCACAGAGCAGCTGGCAGAACAAAGCACCAGAGAAAAATAGCTGACCAGAATCTCTTAAATTGCCGTGTACAGGTGCAGCTTGTTTTTCATCTCAGTGGCAGTCACTAGTGATTGACAATGTTTTACCCAGTGAACTTAACCCTTTTTTCTCCTAGATGAACTGAAGAATCAAGGGTGATTTAGCAAACAATTGCTCCTCTTGTGTGTTCCACAGAGGTTCAATCCAAATGGATGGGACCAGTACTTCAAACCAATGTTACCTGCAAGGAAAGAGGGAAGTAGACCATTTCGGAGGAAAAGTTGTGAAAAATTATCACTGAGCCTGTCCAGCTTTGTTGCTAAGGCTGAAGCACTTCTGTTTCATCAAGAGACACTCAGATGGGACGGCATGTGGCAATGGCTCCTCTGGCATGGCGATGTGCTGTGTGCCACAGTCTCAGTGCTCCACGAATTTTACACCCCCGACCTAGAAATCTAATTCCTGTTTGCCCTTGGGTTTTTTGTTTTTGTTTTTTTTTTAATATCACACCAAACTATATCTTTTAGTGGGTAAGGAAGCGTCAGAGAAAGAAGACACTCATGCAGCCTAGGTTTAAAACATTCACAGAAGGGGAATGGGCATGTGCTGGCTTGCTTGTTGCCCCCCACCCCCAGACACCCACTCCTGGGTTAGTTTTCATAGTTGTATGCAAGGGCATTAGTCTTCTGTAGAAGGGCTGAGTTCCTGCACAGTCCAGACAGTCATCTGCAGAGTACTGTCTCTGTTAGTTTTAAGAGGGTGTTTACGGAGGGGTGAACGGAGGGGTCACATAAGGACGAGTCATCTTAACCAGACAAGCCAAGCTCTCAGAGTGTTGCACCCTGATCTGAAGGCCCCACAGGAGCTAAAGATAGGAAGAGGTCAAATGCAAAGGAGGAATCGTTTCTCCTGGTGAGAGGAAGGAAGTTTGCTGGGGCTGCTGACAAGTTAGGACTGCAGGGCAGGACCCGCAGTGTGGGCTGGCCTCCCCTACTTCCCTGGGCTTCTCTGTAGCCTCAGCAGATTCCGGCGACAAAGGGAAGAGCTTGGTGAGGAAGGTGTTAGTACATCTTCAAATTCTGGTACGTGCCTGATAAATCACCCACCTGAGCACAAGGAACCTCGCAGAAGAACATTCTTGATGATTTAAATGTAGAACATAACTATTGCACAAGCACAGAGCGCGACCTTGACTCTCAAGCATTGACTTCTAAATGGAAACAATGACAGGCAGACAACTCTGACATTTACTTTGAAAGTCTTAGTAAATTTCTAATTATTACATATACCCTGGGAGCTTACCATTCTGTGTCTCTGGCCTTGATATAGTCTTTGAAACAAGTCTATGCTAGGCGGAAGGCATCTGTCCAGACAGTAAGGTCTCTTCTCACACTCAAACCAGTTAATCTGGAATCAAAATAATCAAAGGAACTCTGTGGCCTGGAAAGCAATCTATCTCATTCATAAATCAAACTTTTTGAATGTGTCTTGCTGTATCCGTATGGCCAAAAGCTACTGAATTGAAAAAATTTGAATTTTCATTAATTGTTTTGATCTTAGACATAGATAATAGCTACTAGTAATTGTGCATGAAATAAAATACCAAGATTATGCAGGAATCATAGACTTGGCACCATGATGATAAGCTAATGAGGCAAAGCTTGGATTCAGGACAACTTAATCAGAACAATAGGAGCCATCAACCAGACAGATACTGTAGCAATTAATTCCCAGCCCCCACTCCACAGCCTGGGTCAGGTGCAGGGTAACTCTCCCCTGCAGTGGAGAGTAGGCCCTGGAATACACTTCAACAGCTTTCGAACACTTGTGTGCCTACCAAGAGAGTAACTTCTCCATTCCACCTCAGTATTCACCACTTTTATTTGTACTGATGTCACCACTACAGCCTAGAACCAGAGAAGTCACAGGCCCATAGGGGTCCATGCGATGTGGTGAGCTGGTGATTTTCTTTGTAGGGTAATCATTCCTCCAGTGAGATACTTTAATCCCTTCCCACATTCTAACACACTTGTGCACAAGAGGTTATAGCATGCTCTAGACTTTAGATATTCTGGCCTTGGGGGCAAAAGCTTTTTTTTTTTTTAAGTTTGTAAAGGTAATTACCATTATTTACAGTACCGAGGGCAAAGCCCCACCCTGGGCTTCAGGCCAGGGGACTAGGAGTAGAGCATAGTGGAGTGAGCCAAGTCCAAGACAAAAGCACAATTATGCGCACCTAAATCCTCACACTGGTGGGAGTGGGATGGAGGAAACACCCACAACGAGGGGGGTGTGCACAGGGAGGGGCTTCCTTTGAAGTTCTGCGTGAGTCTCTGAGAGTCTCGTATATTTTTCCCCTATAGTGCTGGGAATGATTGAAGATTCTTGGTTTCCATCCTGGGTTTCTCTTATTGAGTAGTGCCATAAGGAAATGTACTTCCTTCTTATTTGATTTGCCAATGTTGAAAACCGAACTTCAAATAAAAGAATTTTGGAAGTATTAAGAAAACGGGAAATGTTGTGTAAGGTGTTATGAAGCTTTCTCAACTTCTTGGCAGAAAGGAATGTGAGTAAAATACCCAAAGACTCCATCTTTATTTTTCAAGTCACTTCACTTTTTAGGTAATTCATTTTACCCTTCTTCCAGATCCAGGCCATTTTCCACTTATGGGCGTTTTAAAGCCATGCCTGGGGTCAAAGTGTGCCATAGTCTATCTGGTTCTCCAAGTCAGAAAATAATTCCTTGCACATATTCCCCCTCCCTCTCTGTCTCTCTGTCTCTCTGTCTCTCTGTCTCTCTCTCTCTTTCTTATTAACGAGGCGACGTCTTTTTCTTCTTGCCAAGGTGAAGGCCAGATGATCATGTGTGCTACTGTTACGAATCACTGACAAGGACAGCTTATCACTAGTGCAGTTAGTGAGGAGGGAGGCAGAGGCCCCCCAGCGTCCCTCTGCTGGGCCTGGGGAACCTAAGGCAGAAATTCCTCACCAAGTGCACCTGTGGCCAGCGGGAAGGCTCCACTGGGGTTCAAGAGAACCACCACAGTACGCGGGATTTTCAGCTGGTTTGTGGGGCTGTAATCCCAGCCCTCAGGAATCTCAGGCAGGAAGAGCACATGTTCCAGGCCAGCCTGGGCTACTTAGGAGTTCAAGGTCATTCTAGCTGCACAGTGAAACTCTGTCTCAAAAACACCAAACCAAAAAAAAAAGAAGTTGGAAATGCGTGGGGAAATTGGAAGTGGGTTGACAGCTGTCTGGGAGAAGCCACGGTCTAGAAGGAGTTTCTGGGCAGCAGAAACTTCACTGCTGTCCACACTGTGTGACAGCTCAGCTCACCCGACTTGCAGCTACCCACAGTCCTACCCACAGTCCGAGGAAAAGGGAGTTCCAGGGCCAGCTTCGCCTGAAGCCATGTGCTATGCCTCGGGGCCCTTGTAGCCACCTTGAATGCAGGCTGTTTCAAGGGACAGACACAGTGTGTATTTGTCTTGCTTTTGTTTCCACCTACTACAAGCTGGAAGCCAGAAGGCGTGGAGTCTGGCAAACAATTTTGCTTGTAAATAAAGGGAATGTAAGAATTAAAAGCTTGACTGCTGTGGCCCAGTCAAGGAGGGATCAGGCTGGGGGTGTGTACAGGGGACAAAAGGAGCGAGGAAGGGGAAAGGAGGTGGATTTCCTAAAGGAAATAGAAGACTACACAGAGAAGCTGGGTGTGGTGGCACTTGCCTGTTACCCCACATTCTGGGAGGCTGAAGCAGGTGAAAAGCAGGAGCTCGGCCTGGGCAACTCAGCAACTGCTGTGTCCAGCTCAGCTTTCAAAGTTCTCAGAGTGAGCCGGGAGCAGGAGAGGATGATGAGAGGATGGAGAAATAAAGACACAGTATACAGAAAGCTGAGGTCAGGCGGAGCCTTCTCTCTGGATGGGAGGAAAGGAACTGCTCAACCATCCCTGTGCGTTTATTTATACATCTGGCAGCTTGGTGTCCTGTGACATCCCCTGTGCCTAGCAACTCATTGATTGGATTATCTCGGGGTTTGGTGTTCTCTGAACTGAAACCACTTGTTCACATGGCTTGCGTCTAGTGCTCTATGTTCGGGACTAGGTTTGCCTCACCCTAAGATGTGTGATCAATTTCCAGCTTCAGCTGCTTTCTACAAGCAATTTAGCAAGACCTTGTCTTAAAAAACAAGTGGGGCAGGGTTGGGGGGACTAGAAACATAGCTCAGTGGAAAGGCTCTGGGTTCAGTCCTCAGTACAGCAAACAAAACAACAAAGCAACAACCAGAGAAACTTGTAATGTTTGTTGCAAGACATAATCCTATTGCATATTTTCTATATGCTAGTATTTCTACATATAGTTCATTCTTAGGCCTTTGTCTATAAATAGACACACAGGCCTGTGGGCTGGCTCTGCCTTCACTCAGTACTGAATGTGCCCACTGTGAGCAGCATTAAGGCAAATGTTTTTTGGTGAAGGATGGCATCACGCGGCAGTGGGTCAGCAAATGAACACCTGTAATGAGACAGTTTCTTAGGATGCAGGGGGTACCAAGGGCTGTGAGAGGGTAAATGGAATAGTAAGAGAGATTAAAATGGGGACAAGCCAAGAGGGTGATGTTACATGAAAACCTATTCTTTTCCTGCTGAAGCAACCCTGATCGCCTGCAAGGCCATGAAATGCATCCACGATGGTCTTCATTTATCATCTCTCTGTACTAAGGTAACTTGCTTATATCACATAAAATTTGGGAATATAACATTTTACTTAAATGTGATGGATTGAAGGATTATTTCCAGGGAGATATGCAGATTTGAGATTGAGTCTGATCAATTTGTTTTGTGAATTGATGGTTCTGCAAAAAGTATGTGAAATTTAAAAAATATTCAATGTTTTGCTTTCTCACTTGCTATGTAAAGTGCAAAGTAACTTCTTGTCAACTGTGAGTGTAATACACATTTTAAAAAGAATCCAGTTAACTTTAAAAGGAAGTATAGTGTGCAGTTCGGCAAAATTGAGGGCTGTAACTAATGGTGAAGGGAACTTTGAAGTCAGACGGATCAGAAATCTGATCCTGATTGTCTAGTTTTAAAACTGTGTGGTCTAAGATACATTGTTTAACATATTCTTTCTTTTTTTTTTTAGTGGTTTGAGACAGTGTCTCACTATGTAGTTCAGGCTGGCCTCGAACTCATGGCAATGCTCCTGCCTCCGCCTTCTAAGTGCTGGGATTACAGGTGTGTGCTACCACACTCAGCAACCTTTCTGGGCTTCAGAATTTTTGTTTTGTTTGTAAGTAATAATACATCTATCTTGTAAGCTTATTTTGAAAATAAATGAGGCAATACATATAAAGCCCCAGATGAGAGACCTAGTTTACTTAATCTGTGCTCAGCAAATTCAGCTATTATTAGTCTATAATTATGGATAATTATAATAATGAATATATTTCATTTCCCTGCTAAATTATGATTATATGGGACAAAGTGAATTAGAATAATGAAAATTATTTTGTGAATTTAATCACTACAACTTACTAAAGTGATTAAGTTTTTTGAGTGGAATGACGAGTGATTTATTTTTAGTATTAATGCCTCTATCACATTTCTCCGGCTGTGTACCAAAAAGTATCACAGAGTTTCAAACAGAAGCCTCCTTTCTCAGGAAGTCGAAAGAAAGAAAGAAAGAATAGAGAGGAAGAGAAGAAAAGAGAAGGGAAGGGAAGAGGAGAGAAAAAGTCAGAGGCGAAGGGATTCAACATCATCTGCAAAGTGGTTTCCACAGCCAGCCGAGTGCAAGGGCCCCTGCCCGGAGCAGACCTGGCTTCACTGCACCAGTGCTAAACGATGTCACCCTCCTCTTTCCTCTGTCAGACTGGCCTGAGGTGAACTGTGTTCCTCTGGGTCTTCAGGGGGCTCCCAAAACTTCTGACGTGAGCAGAGCTGGGCTGTGTAAAATATTAGTGGGTTTGCTTATGGAACAAGGAGTCATTTGATGCTTTTAGATGATAAAAAACATGGATGAGGAAAAAGGCTGGATTCATTTAATGACATGGAAAAAAACACAAGAGCTGAGCTGTGAACCCTAAAATCTGAGGCTCAGACTTAACATTGTGAGCTTGGGAACCTAGGTATCTTTTCTCTCAGAAAACTATTAAAATTGTAAAGAGTGATCAAGATATCAGGTTCACAGGCAATAAGGTTTACATACACAACTTTTAGAAATCTTTTAAAGGCTTCTTACCCTCAGTAAATGGGAATGCAAAGTATTATGCAAATCAGATTTAACTTTCTGGCTAATTTGCCTCAATAAAAAGTGAAAGATGGAAAAGGAAGGTTCCAGCCACATGTGAAGGGTGTTTCTATGCAAATGGAGCGTTGCCTGAGGAGCGGCTCCCAGGCGGTGCCAGCAGGGCCCCAGTTTCTGGGCAGGCTCAGATGGTTGTCAGGCAGGGTTTAAGTGATGCAGTGTTGAGTTCGCTTAATGCCACTGGTTGATGTAAGGCAGAAAAGAAGAAAAGAGGGAACCAGAAAAAGTAAATGGAGACTGTGGGAAGGAAAGAGTGAGAAAGGAGTAACTGTGATCCTGGAATGTAGAATGGTTGGCAGCTCCTTAGATTCCTTCCTTAAGTTCTCTGTTCTTACCAGGCATTTCAACCCTCAGGACTGTATTACACCTGAAAACATCCTATGATACTGCCTACACATGTAGATTCACAAGAACTACCTGGGGCCCAGAGAAAATATTACACACATTGATTGATAGGGAGTATTAGTCACTGGATTACATTTTCACTTGTGCCAAATCAGTGCTAAGAGCCTGCTGTACAAAGATGCCTACGATACCTTTTCCAATTTTCACCAGCTCCGCAGGTCAGTTTCAATGTCCTGTGTTAAGTGTGTTGACAGATTAGTTACAGGAGCCTCGGAGAACTCAGTGATAATGTCCCTCACTCAGTCTAATAATTAGGAATCATGTTGCCCTGTCCTTTGAGATGAAACTTGTAAGGAAACATTCAGCAAATGCACTGGGAAGATGTTTTCTAGTAGTGAGAGAAACTCATGGGCTTGCAGTGGCTGTGGACCTGCTGTGATGTGCACAGTGGGTTCCACAGGAAGCCAATGGAATGGCAAATGTCTGCTATGGTCAGCTATGTGGCCTTTCTTTGGGACATCAATTCAGTTTCTTTTTCTGTCACTTCCAAGGTGATTATATTTCTTGGTTTCCTATATCAGAACATAAGAGTGGATGTATGGTGTTACCCTAAGCTAACAGAAGTCAAGGGGTTTAGTGTTAGTGGATGAAGGTGCCAATGAAGAGTTTTAAATCAGCATTGAATGTTTGTTTGGTTTTCTGATCTAGGATCTCACTATGTATTGCAGGCTGGCCTTGACATTACTTATGTAGCCCAGACTTGAATTTATGGGGATCCTCCTGTCTCAGCTTTCCGAGTGCTAGGATTATAGGTGTATGCCACCATGTGCTGCTAGAATTGGATTTTATGAAATATTCTATAGTACATCCAAGTTGAAGAACTGACTCAATGAAGTTTTAGGTTAAATGGGAACTGGTGACATATTCACAGGGCAGGCAATTTGTTTGTGCTTGAACAACAACTACTTGGCTTAAAAATACAATGCATAAAAGAATTTTTTAAAAATGTGGTTCTGGGGCCGGGGATATACCTCAGTAGCATAAATGCCTGCCTGTTAAGTGCAAGGTCCTGAGTTTGATTCCCAGCACCCGCCCCTAATGTGGTTAACACAAATGGTTTTTGGAAAAAGGACTCACATTTTCTGCTCACTTCTTTTTTCTTCTATCTATAAAATATAATTAATATTGTGTGTATCATACTGTTATAAGTTCCCCTTTTTAAATATTTGCATTAAAAATATATATGTATATTCAAATACAAATATATATATATATGTGTATTTCAAATACCTTGAAAATATGAACATCTTTTTATAATTGATTACAGGAAGATCATAAATTGATTCCAAAAGACACACATCTAAATTAGTCTCATTAATTCATAGTTGCCTTAAGTATAAGCATCACAGATTGACCTTCCTGATAATTTACTTCTGCATTTTTCAGACATCAGTAAAGAGTCTCCATGTTTGGAAAGACCATAACTCTGGGAGATGGACTCCTGAGTTTTGGTCAACAGTTGTTGGACAAAGCATTAACCTTTGCGATTGGCTTGAAAAAAATGAGAGAATACTTTTTCTGTCTTTAAAGACTGTTAAGAGGCTTTAGTTTGGTAACGTACATAGAAGACTTCTGAAAGCCCCTGGAGAAAGTGGCAATAAATGGGTATCAAATTTTAAGGCAAAATATAGAATTGAGGGCCAGGGATTTCGCTCAGTGGCATAAGTGCGTGGTCATGAGTTTGATCCCGGTACCCCCCTAAAATAAGTAAATTTTAAAAAATAAAATATAGAACTGAAGCTCTTCATTCAGCTCCTGTTGCCAATACTTGACCAACAAAGACCCAAAAATTAGCTACTGAATAAATAAATGTGCCTATCCATATACATTTAAAAGTTAGCTAAGTGTTAAACTTATTTAGGACAGTAGTCAATTCTAGCTATTGATATGGAAAGAGAATTAGTCTCTATAGTATCTGTGTCCAGTTGTCAAAAACAAAACAAAAGCAAAGCAAAGGGAAACACGCCAGCCTCTGTCCCCATGCAGGCATTGAAATGTCACATCTCCCTGGCTCTGTCCCCTTGTTTACATTTTTACCTACTTCCCACTCTTGCTCACATTCATCTCTGGTAATAACCTAGTTTTAAGGAGTCTGAATGTAGGCCACGTTCTGTAAAGGATATTTACTTTTAGTTGTATATAAGGTTAAGAAAATTTAGGGCTTTTAAGGGTTAGGATTTTAAAAATGCAACTTTGTGTAGGAGTGCCATCTAGTAAATATTTGGAAATTGGGATAAGGAAACAGGGACTGGCCCCTGGCTCGTGACAAGTTAGCCAGTGTGAAAGAAGGGTGCTTTCAGTTTTTGATTTCCCTCTCCCACCCATTTCCAAAACTGTACACAGAAGAGCTCAGGAGGTGAGCAGAGGACATATCTGGGTTTCCTCCACGGTCTCTTGTTCTTTTTTCCTTGAGCTAGTGTGGGGTTTCACTGTTTGCGTTTTCCTTAAAACTTAGGCCAGTGCAACAAACTTCTCAGGTCAGATAGAATCCATTTTCAATAGAGGGATAAAGAGAAAGAAAATCATTAGAGAAAATACAAAGAACATGTAAATAAATACTTAATTCACTAAACTTTGGTGAGTGTGCTGGGATCACCTGGGGCACATTCTCCAGCTTCTCACCGCTTTCCTATTAAGCTAGACCCGTCTGATCCTCCACCTGCGGCCTTCTGCTGATATCTCTTCCCTCCCACCCAAACTTTCAGATTCAAGGTTCCTGGATCCATTCGGATGCCCCCTTTCAGACAGGAACCCAGCCACCCCTAGGGAACAGGCAGGGCTGTGGTTATGTATATAATGCAGGCTTCATTTTTCAGGGGAGGTATCTCCATTTCCTCAGTAAAAAAAGGAGCCTCCTTTTACGGATCCATTGTGAACACTAACTGCAATGCTTCCTGGATCAAATTGTACATGCCAGGTAAAAAGAAGACTGTTCTTTCACACCTTTAGCAATTATACTTTTTTTTAGAAAGTTAACATTTGTGCTTTGAAAAATAGCAGCCACTTCCAAAGAGGTTGTCACATAGATGGAGAAGGTGGCCTTACAAGCTTCATTTATAGGAAGGCGATAATGGTCAAGACAACACCAAGACAGGTGACCTTCAAATCTTCCAGGAGAGAATCTCATCATATCTAGCACCAGCCACATCATTCCTCTGCCCAGGGGTGTCCTCTCAGAAAAGACCACACGGTCGGGCAGAGAAGAGACTGAGTTCATTACCTCAACCCAGGAACTTTCCCCTACTCCAGATATTCTTGCTTTGAGAGTCGAAGGTTAGAAGTCTTTTCTTGGCTATAGAACATTCTAAATATACTAGCCCAACAGTCATGTTTGGAAGAAAAATCTACCTTCTCTTTACATGCTTGCATGATCTGCAACAACCGTAGCACAGCAGTCTGTTGCAAGTGTATTGGATATTTCAGTTTGCCAGACCTGTCATGATAAATTAATTACAGGATGTTGCAGAAATGGCAAAACTCCAGCAGCATCTTGCATAGTTTAATATAGACCCATTTCCCCATTTCAATGTATTTGTGGTTAGATAAATCCTCAGAAATTTACAGCTGCTATAGACTAGTTTATTATGTAGTCTGCCTGCACACATGATAAGTATAATAAGAATTTGATGTTCTTAAAGAACATAGATGTTACTGATATTTCTTTACCACC